ACCTAGAAATCTATGAATCTATGAAAACATTAGTAGATGAAACCTGCACTTTCTGGTCATTAGAAATCTTTAAAAACTCAGATTTGCTGATGTAGTTGGCCTGTCAGTACCTCTAGGGGGTCGGTAGCTTATCATGGTGTACACATAGCAACAGGGAACTGAGACTTAACTGAGACCGACGCCATAAGAGCAAGCTTGACCTCTAATGCTTCTGCTATTTTAGGTACAAATAGTACAAAAAGTAGGAGAACGGTGTTGAAACTTGGGGCTAAAATGATATATCAATATCCCAATTTTGGACTATTGTCTAAATTCAGTATTTCTCAACTGTAATGGCCCCTGCCAAAGTCACTTAATATTAATTGCTTACAAAAATTCATTGATTCCTTAACTTAAGATGCTGACAAACCGTTGTCTTGGTGAGTAGTGGTCCACATCTATTTAATTCTTAGGAATCCTTTTGGTCTCTATTAAATTTTGTAAATCAACAGCTGGCAATGATTTGATTTCTTCATTTTGATGATATGTACAGTCTGTTATTTACAAAGTTTTTTCCCTTGGAAGATAAGCATTTCGAGAGAGGCTGTGGTGACTTTTCCTGGACAATCCCTAATTATGATTAAAGTTTTCATTTTAAGAATTGCAGGTAATGGGTTTTTTTCCTTAAAAGTGTGCAGTGATGCTATGTGGGCTGTCACAGATGTGTGCATACATAGAGCTCTTGCTCTGCCTTCTGTGTTGTGTGCTATTAGGTTATTCTTTGTTTTGAAACAGGAGATCCTGAGAAGGAACTTAATCCCAAGAAGAAGATTTGGGAGCAAATCCAACCTGATCTTCATACCAACGACCAGTGTGTTGCAACATACAAAGGAGTTCCATTCGAAGTGAAAGGGAAAGGAGTCTGCAGGGCAGAGACCATGGCAAACAGCGGAATTAAATAAATGGTTATTAGAATCTTTTTCAGATGTTGAAATGGAAAGTAATGCAAGCACAATAAAAAAACGTGAATATATTACCCATCTGAATTGCATGGCTAATACCTTTTTTGTTTGACTCCTTTTCCAGAGATGTAGAATGTGTTATGCCTCCAACATTTTCACAATTCTTTGTTCACCATGCTTACTGTCCTTAAGGTTAAGTGTCGTCAGCGGTCATTAACCACCCAGTGCTCAAGACTTAATTGACAAGGCTTGTTCATGGTCGAACTACAGGCAGGCAAAAATATTTTCTAGACACCTAAAAGGTTTAGAGGATCTGTGGAGCAAGAGCACCTCAATAAGGAAAAATTTCTGCCATGTTCCTTGTGTGCTAACTGCTCTTCAAGAGGTGCACAACTACCAGTGGGTCAGTGAAGGCCACAATCATCATCTTTCTAGTCACATTTTGATAGTTTTTCTCCTCTTCTTTCAAGCAGTTTGCAGATACATTATAAGCCTCTGCAACTTTGTTCTTGACTGTGTTGTCTCAGTAGTCTGGAGACAATTGTAATGGGAAGATTAAACTCTAGCCCTTTATGCCCTCAGATATACAAATAGACATACTTTCATGTTCCACAGTTAAGCTGTTATAATGTCAATAAGATCAAAGCTGTCACTTTGCTAAAATACTTCTTCAGTCCACCTAGATATTTCCTTCCAAATGATGGATAGTACTAAGAAGGAACGAATAGCAAATAGATTGCCAGAGCTAGTCAAATACTACCAAAAAGATAGCCATTTCCAATGCCCAAACAGGTATAAAATGAATTGATTTTTTGCTTTAATGTTTGGGGTTTTTTTATGCAATGATATTATATACAAAAGATGCTTTGGTTTTAACAGAAATAGCTTCTTCAGTTTTTACAATTAGAATTATTCCACAATAGTGTAATACAAGTAGTCATGGTCGCTGTGGTAAGAGCCTCAAATTACTACTTTTAATTCCTGCCTTTTAATAATCTGAAAATAACTATTTTAGATCAATTTACAATAGACCTTTTAAGTAACTATTTAGAGGTACTTCAGATATTTTGGCATATAATATTTAATTAACCAATTACTGTCTAACCACTAAAACAGTAAGCACTCTTTAAACCACTGAAATAAAAAAAAAAAATTAACCACTCTGAATTTTGCAGACTTTGAACTTCATCCAGTAAAGTGGGAGAAAAAACAAAAGAATGATGATACAAAATTAAAAGGAATAGGCACAAAAGAAGAGATGAACAGTTTTCTTTTTGTGTAAATTTTTTATGCATCTGGAAATAAGCAGTGGTAATTAGTTCTTTTAAATGTGCTGAATAGCATTAAGCAGGAGAGGGATTTTATCTGCCTTGTAAGCTACGTGTCTGATGATGTTATCTTAATCAAAATTCTTGAAGTTCAGAATCTCAATTCTAACTAATCCTGAATCAAGGTAAGGAAATACTTCTCCAATAGATAAATCTTAGTTTTTACTACTGGAAAGCTCTTTACAAACTTTGGAGTTCAGAGCAACTTCTGAAAGCTTGAAGAATTGAGCAAAGAGGCTCTCTTACAGTCTGAACTCATCCATTTTTTACTACTTTTTTTTTTTCCTTCCAGGTCCGTGTTCTGTATGGACTGAATAAACAATCTGGTGTAGGCTAAAATCTCATTTGTGACTACATGCATGTTAGGGACTTGATTTAGAGCACTAACTTGTGCTGATTTTCTGGCCGAAACTAGGATTCTGGACGCAGTAGTGTGAGGTACTCCATGAAAGGCAAGTGGTTTGGTAATTAAAGAGATATTTCCAGCTGTGTGCTCAGAGGTATTTGGTATGGATATGGAATTTTCCAGTTGATGGCTTCTATCCTTTAATTTCTATTAAATGTTACCTGCTGTAGAAAATAGACAAATGAGCACCTGAAAGCTAATTTTATTCCATGTTGTGTTTAGGTAGAAGCACTTGGTATTTATTTCGCCTTATAAAATTCAAGATCTTTCTTAAGACAATAGCTCTTTCCTCTTTAGTTATGCTCTTATGGTTGTCTAGGAAAATGTATTTATTCTGTACTGAGCTCAGAAGTGACAACAGGGTACTTGAGGCACTGCGCAAGTATGCTTCCTCCCTGAATCCGGCCTCTTCTGCCTTGTCTGCATGAGTAAGTAGAACTGCAGTGAAATCCTTCCATGTGGGACCCAGAAGTTCCTGTAATGAAAAACAAATCTTAAATAGTTATGTTTTCTTGTTCCCTTTCCCCACTCCTACCTCATATACTTATGCATTAACAGACAGACCAGTTATATCTTCTTTTCCTGGCAGTAATCTGGTTCATGCTATCTAAGCTGCGGAAATTTCTGGGAGTTTTCACCTTCCAAGACACTGACATCCACTTTCAGTGGAAAAATGCAGTTGTACAGTACTAACAGTTCTCTGTTCTCGTTCAACAGATGTTAATAGAATTTCTCCAGTTAAAAAATGTCTACGTAAATAAGGAAAAATAGTTGTTTAGAGACGGCACACTTTAGTTTACTTCAGTAGTTTCCACATATCCATATTTCTACACTTTTTACAGCTCTTTGGAAACTTTCTTTAAAAATCACCAAATCACCTTGTGTGTTGAAAAATAAATGATGAATATCTATAACACCAACTACAATTCCAGCTGTATTCCATAAAACTGAACTATTCTCAGCAATTCAGGAAAAACACAAATCAAATGCCTCAGCCTAAGTAATGGGCCAGAGAGTTTGTCTTTAACTGCTGTGGTTCATCTGATGGAGGGAAATGGAGAAAACAAGCTGCTTTTTTGTCAATGACTACAGAAAATTTTAATAGGAATAAGAGATTGGGCTTTCATTTACAGATGTAAATGAAATTACCACTTTAGTGCAATTGTAATAATTCCTCTGTGTGACAAGAAGCCTACTTTGGTAATGATTTTAACTCTATAACCTAAATACTACGGTGTACAAAACTGCTTTAAAGATATGTTTCTACTCCCAGGGCAAGCAGTGAGTTAGAAAAACCTGATGGATTGATAGTGGTTCATCTGTTTTAGAAACTAGGGATGAAAAAAAAATTAAACCTGTACAGAACTTTGGCAGAATCTGTCTAAGGAAGTGTTGGGTTATCAGTTTTGGAGAGATAGGATAGAGCCTTAATTTCCTGAGGACTCGAAATCAATGCTAATGTTAGTTCTGAAATCAATATCTGCTGCTCTCTCAATTTATTGAGCTCTCTTAGTTTGTTGAGCTTTTTTTTTATTGACAGAAAAAAATCCAGAGATATTTAAATGCCAGTAGTCTTCTACTGATATGCCATCTTCATTGATTTGCCTTCCCTAATTTGCAGAGGATTGTTGTGAAAACTCCCAATGAGTAAAGGTAATCTTCACGCCAGTGTCTCTTGGAATGGCTTACTGAAATATGAATTACTGTTGGAATTGCCAGCACCCAGGCAGCTGTCCTGCCTCATTTGCTTGTGGCTGATGAAATCACAGCATCAAGTCTTTTAAGGGGAAAAAAACTAAAAAGCTGACCATTATATAAGATGAGAGCCAGTCGTAATCATGAAACAGAAATAAGTGTTGCTTTCTCATTATTTTTAAGCATGGCTTTATTTAAGCTCCATTTAAAGAGAAAAGGCATGGTGGCATCTCTTATGCTTTTAATGCCCACATGGACTTGATCCAAAACCATCGCAAACTAGAAGCATGATGATTTTTCATTGACTTACAGTAAAAATACTTTGATTCGATACTGCTTTCTATTAAATACCGTGAAGTATAGAGAGATGGAGAGCTGTATAAGGAAAAAGGGTAACACTGAAAACAGATACATGTACACTGACAATGAGTAAGAGTGTGTTGAAATTAGAACTGACTCTCAAACTACCGGAAAAGTGAGGAGTAGCCTACTAATAGAGAGTAATCAGAACAGGAGTGCAAATCAAACACATTTTAAAAGCTCTTTTCCTATCTATGTAGGTATATATTGGTATATTCTTCTCTGTATATGTATTATATATTCAGATAATAACAGTTGCAGCAGGGGATAGGACTTAATGGACCAGGAAGTCCATTCTGCTCCTGAAGATTTTTAGAAAGTTCAGTAGTGTAAGTCACATGCGGAGTTGTGATGTGCAGGCTTTGTCGATAACTGAAACCCATCTGATCAGATAGATAAACTGAGCAATACCTGTTTGATGTCTTCTTGCCCCCCACTCTCCTCCCCTCCACATACAAAAAAAATATGACAGACATTTTCCTTAGCCAGAGTAAATTTATGCCGACTTTCTAGTTATTTTCTCTTGAGCAAATATTGCAGTAATGATAGCGCAAGACAGAGTTGAGCATCCTTGTCTCAGGTCAACAGATTTTCTCATGATTTTGGACCCGTCACTTTCTGCTTTGGTCCTATATAGAGCACAAGAGAGTGAGGTAACCTGACTTTTGCTTGCTTTAAGTAGCATTTCTCTCCAGCTGGCTAGATCTGTCATGATAAAGCATTAAATGTAATTTCTGAGGGAAAAGCTTACTTCAGGTAAATTTGGTTCCTCAATTCTTTTGTGCCGAGCTCACGTATGAAAGAGAGCGGT